ATTCGAGTAGAGAGTAGAGATTCTGAAGTGACACACACCACCAACTTTCCCCATCCATCCCACTGTGGTGGCCCAGTGGTTAGAATGTACTGCAGGCTATTCCTGCTGACTGCCAGGTACCTGCACTCTGGCAGTTTGGATCTCACCAGGCTCAAGGTTGACTCAGCCTTCCATCCTTCTGAGGTCGGTAAAATGAAAACCCAGATTGTTGGGGGCAATATGCTGATTCTGTAAAACCGCTTAGAGAGGGCTGTAAAAACACTATGAAGCAGTATATAAGTCTAAGTGAATAGTATTGCTATTATCCCAGGTCCTTGACTTGCTCCCAAGCTTGCTGCAGCAAAGCAAGGGAGCCTAAAGTTGGGCAGCAGAAATGACCAGCTCATGGAGGGCTGAGGACTACTTTCCATCCGGCCACCCAAAAGGACTTCCAAGCACTTGGCCTCCTCCTCACCCAGCAGCACCCAATTTGCCTGTTTGTTTTTGCAGAGGAACCCATGCGATGCAATACAAGGCTCAACTTTCTTGAAGCTGCTGGCCTCTCCTAGCAAGTAGTACTTCTCATGAGATTCTGTAGGGAACTCTGTTTTTTAAGGAAGCTCCAGAAACTCCACAAATAGATGGTGTCTCCTTCTGGGAGTTGGCTGACCCTGGGGAACCCTGAGGATCAGGAAGCAGAGCAGGCTCTGGGCCTGGGCCTGCACTAAACCTCCATGGATCTCTCCTATCTCTGAAGCAGTCCGTACTTCACTTAATGACTTGCACATTCATTTAACAATTGGACCAGGGAGATTAGGGATGGGGAAATATTAAGTGAGATGTTCCACTTAATGGTCATCACAACATGCAACCATAAGGAGCAGGCTCCATTATGGTCATAAGTGAAAGACTATCTGCATCTCCTTCTTGGAAAGCATCTAAAAAAACCAAACAAAAAATGAATGTAGGCGTTTCCCACTAATTTTAACTTTATAGGCAAACCATATCAGGTTAAGGAACAAAGGGGGTGGTGACATTGTCCCCGCATTGCAGCAAGCGACGCCTTGCTTAATCACTGTTTGTGGGTGCTATAAAAGAAATTGTATTATGCAAGGGACTATTACAGCTTGCTATTTTATTGCAGGAATTCCCTAGAACCGTTATTTGACTGCCATACTAATGTTATCTAGATTTGTTGTTTTAGTTACAAAATTGATTTCCTATGGAGAGCTTGTTTAATTTAATGGATAAAAATGGAAGCTGCTGGATAAAAGGCGAGACTATTGGAGGCCAGAAATTCCCCAAATTCAATTTTTGCCTAAGGCCTGAGTTGCTGATTATATGCAAAGGTTCTGTATTTGGAGATTTCCATGCAATTTTGCTGGAGACGATGTAAATGACGGCTGTAGCATAAAGATATAATGTATAATTTTCCCCTCCTTTCGCCATCCTCAATTTGGGGGGGGGTATATACACATACATAGAGAAACATATAGTGTGTGTTTGTGTATACGTGTATCCAATCTTTCATGACTGTAAGCAACCCAGTTACCTTGTGGTAAGATGGGTGGCCAATAAATTTTATAAATAAATACAAGAAAAGAAACTAAAGTTTTAGCAATATAACAACTTTATCTTTGGCTTCAGCAAAATGAAACTAGCTCATATGAGAATTCTAATATTTTTTTGAAAAAATTGCCTTTTTTTTAAAGTTCTTTTTGCTCAGTTCCCAACAAACATTTATCAAATCACAGAAGAAATACTTCCCATCATCAACCATAAAGGTATTTAAGCTTTTTCATTCATTCAAATAACAACTATTATATAAAGGTCTGTAATTGAAAACATATAATTAAGCATGTCATTGAATATATGATTCATAATTATATCTTTATCTCTGCCTGAAGTGAAATGTCAGAAGATTGGGATTTTAATGTTTCATTAATTAGCCTAAAATGCATTTGCTGAATTTTATTTTGCAAAAAGTACAGCATACTTAAAAGTATGTAAATTATTTACAAAATGGTATTTGACCATTGATCTGCTTCTAAGTATCTGACTACCATGTCTGAGTTGCAAAACCCAATCATTCTTTGCTGCCATCAAGTGGTAATCTGGGTTTTGGTAGCCCAGTTATGGTAGAACTATTTAAACGTTGAGCTCAAGCTATTCCAGCAAGAGTCGTATCTAGTTAGCGGCTGCCTGGCATGGAGTAGTCAACAGAAGCATCGTTCTTAATTGCGTATCCAGGATGTATTCTGCAGTTGCATACCAGCAAAATGAAGTTACTGTTGCTACAGAAACCACCTAGTATCGTGAATGTTTATTTTCCCATGTGGAGTTGAACTTTCATTGAAGGAAATGGTGTGCAATCTTGGGTTTCTCCTGGACCCATGGCTCCTGTTGGAATAGTGGTGGAAGCCATGGTGGGGAGTCCCTTTGATGTTTCAAGAGATTCTGCTAATTGCATCTTTTTCTGGACCAGATGATGAAATGATCATGGTCATTTCTAAATTTATTTTCATCAATAATCAATTAAACACTATCAAGACATTTTATCCTGGATAAACCTTATCCAGGATAATCTGTTCCCAAACTGGTCCTTAATTCCGCCAATAGCACAGCTATCACCATTCTAGTTGAGCCTTGAACTTCTGACTATCTTCTTCTACTCCTTTTCCCAGCATGATAGAATTCTCAGGGAAGTTGGCTCTTCACCTGATATCCAAATATGGTAATTTGAGCTTCATCATCTGTACTTTAACTCTGGAGAGATTTGTTTGATGATCCATTTCTTTTCTTGGTCATCCATGGTATTATTAGGAGTCTTTTTCAATACCGTAATTCAAAAGGGTTGATAATTCTTGGTCCTGTTGCTTTAAAATCCAACTATCCTTCCTTCCAATAAGTACCAGAAGCACCAGTGCCTACATGAATCTGATCTTTGTACCGTAGGTACCAGCACATCACAATATCTGAGTATTTTTTCCAGGGCCTGCATTGCTACGCTAAAAAAATAACCAAGTGTTATTTTGTGGCATATTTCTTGACTGCTGGTTCCTTTGCTGTTGGTAGTAAATTGTAAAAGGCAAAAGCTATTTAGCACTTAATTGTCAGTTCTAAAGGTGGTTGCTGCACTTGTTATCATTAATCATGTTTTAAACTGAATACTATTTTTACTGCACTTCTCGACTTTTATTATGACAGCTTGTGGATAATTTGCATTTTCAGCTATCAGACTAGTGTCATCACCATGGCAGAGGCTATCAACATTTCTTCCTCCAATTTTTATTTCCAGCTTCCCTCAATATATATTCAGCACATAAACTGAACAAATAGAAAATATACAGCTTTGTCTTACTCATTGGCCAAACTGGAGTCAATCTCTTTCATAGTGAACTATGACTTTCTGACATGTGTACAGGTGTCAAATGAGAACAAGAAAATATTCCGAGGTTTTCACTTTCCACGGGAGATTCCACAGTTTGACTTGGTCAACACAATTGAAGATATAATCAGTAAATCTTCTTATTCTTTCCTTTCTTTTTCTTTTCTTTTTGCTTCCTCAGTTGTCTGGGCATGCTTCAGCAATAATATCTCTTGTACTTCTGGCTCACTTTGACTTCTGGCATTTCTTTTTCCATGTAGGGCCTAATCTGTTGGATAACCCTAAACATTATGTTGCTATGTTAAGGAAAATATGTGATAGTTTGAACAATCTGCTAAGACTTTTTCCCTCTTTCTGAACTGGTATGTAGGCTAAGCTCTTCCAGCCAGTTAGCCACTATTGTTCTCCAGATTTACTGGCAGTTTGGTTAGCTTTACTGATTCTTCTTCCATTGCTTGTCATATTTCTATGGATATTCCATCAATTCTTGTAGCAGTTTAATTCATAATGATCAGAATGCTGATCTAACATCATCTTCTTAACATTAAAGGTTCTTATAAATAGGGACTATCTTCTGAAGTATCTTAGATTTTCTAGGGAGATACTGACATTTCTACTGGACAGAATTTTAGTACTCTTGCCATTTTTCTTTCAACTGCTTTGAGTCAGTCACTATCTGTCTACTAATGTTCATTTAGCACAACTATTTAAGATTGGAACCTACTTCTTAGACTGGAAATCTTATGAAATATTTTTCAAGATCTGCTTCCATTTTTAACATCTTTACAGATATTAAAATCAATTCAGTTTTCTGTGGCCTCTGCCTGTTGATACCCATGTATATAGCCATTGTTTTGGTTGTTTGAAAATTGTGATGGCAGTGAAGTAATGATTAAATTGACCAGGAACTGGTAAGCTGTTGTATCTCATTTCTATTTCCTAGACCACACAATCCAAGTACATTTTTCTGTTTCCTATTTCCAACTTTAGCATTCCAGTCTCCAAATATACAAGCACAACTTGTTTGCATGTTCTGTCAATTTCATTGTACACGGTTGCCCTTAAAGACAGCTTGACACAAAATGCAGCTGCTCATCTACCTGCCAACATTAGTTGGTTAACTCAAGATCTGTTCTATAGCAGCTGCACTGCTTACCAATAGATTCTGGACCCATTCAAGGTCCTGGTGGCCAACGTTACCTTCAGGTTATCTTCTGCACGTAAAATTTGCATACATTATAGTATAGCAGAAAGTGTCCTGGGTGCCCAAAAGATTAGACTGTATGACTGGGACCCAGAGAATAATATTAATAGCAGATCTCTCTCTGAAACATAATTTTCTTGAAGTCTGTGTAGTCCCATTCTTCTGTCCTTCACAAATATGGCAGACCATCTTTTTCCAGAGGGCATTTAGACAGTAACATCTTACTTGAGGTAATTGTGTTTAATAGTTTACTCTTAACTGTTCTATTGCAGAATTATGAATGCACTTTATATATTGTAAGTCATTTACTCATATGAGTAAATGAGTAAGTATTATGAGTTACTCACTATATATGTAAATAAATAATTTTTAAATCTTCTACTTGCAACAGACAAATCAACTAGCAGAAGAAAAAGTTTATTCTAAGCATACATCTTCATTTTTATTACTGTTGGATGATAGTGCACTTCTGAATTCTGGTTGTGAATATGAACAAGACACCAGTGGTCCATTTGGATAAATCTGACAGATTCAGGGGTCTTGTTCCAATTTTAAACTATTCTGAAGTGGGAAGATATGATGTTTAGCTTATCTAAAAGGTCTGTCATGAATAAAAGCTTTGAAATTCTATATATCTAGATGATGCCTGCCCAGTTAAATATGCAAATCGCAGAGCAAAAGTGAGACTCAAACTGCTTTTCAAAAGTCAATCTTGTCTTCAAAGCAAATTTGTTTCATCCTCCCGCAAGGGAGAGGGCCATGCATCCCGCCCTATGCACCGTTTTGCTCAGCACTGAACGTTTAAATCCGGTTCTGCTTCCAAATGAAACCTTGACCAGCGTTATGCGCCAGCCTTTTGCTATTTTCTCTTCCCGGAGTTCGTGCTAGTTGGAAGTAATACGATCAGCTCAACTCTGCCTTTCAATGCCACTGCCGGTTCTCTAGCTTCCAAGGCTTGGCGGGAAAGGAAAGGTGAGGCGAAGTAAGGAGAGAGGATCAACCTCTGCAGGAAACGGCCGCTGCCGTCGCATCACCAGTTTACACGCAGAGCCGAGCTGCAGTTTCCTCGCGGAACACGGGAAGGAAGACGCGCGCTTCTTAGTTCCCGCTGCCGCCGCCGCCGCCATGGCCCAGTTCTTCTCGCTGGCCGATTGCGAAGTGATCGGCTTCGATCTGGATCACACGCTGTGTCGCTACAACCTGGTGGAGAGCGCCCGGGTGAGTGGCGCAGTTGGAAGTGCAGGCCGGCTGGCAGGCCGGATTTAGCTCCGGCTGGGCTCTTTCGAATGGCCGCCACGGTCCAGCAGCCCCCGCGCAATGCCATTAGAGAAACAACCCCGGGGAAAGCCCGTAGGACGATCGCTAGGTTGACAGAGCAAGCCTCGGACTGGCTGAGTGGCTACTCCGGGTTAGGAGGAGGAGGAGGAGGAGGATCTAGGTTCTAGTGAGCGTGGCCCAGCCCAAGGTTTGCACTGCGAGTGGCGCTCTGACGTCTTTTTGTGCGGATGCAGTAAAGCCCGCCGCGGAGGACTGGGACCGACTAGCGTTATTTCAGGAAGCGGAAAGGGGCGCAAGAGTTTTGGCTGGCTGGAAAGCGGCCTTTCCAGGAGACCAATAATTTGGGGAGGGGACACCTCCACCCCGGCTGTATTGTTGCCAAAAACCTTATAATGCCCGGAATTAAGCTGTACCGTATAAAAAAGCAACGAGTTTCGGAATGCCTAAGATTATGCTATTTATATTACAATCTTCTATACACTTTCACCAAATACTAATTCCTGCCAAATCCGGTGGAATTTTGTTGTTGCGAATAGATACGCGTAGGCTTTTTAATAGTCGTCTTTCAAAATTTATGTTTTCTCGGAAGTTGCATTGGCGTTTTGCTCCCAAGACAGCATTGGCTGACACCCTGTCTACCAATCTACCAATGTTTCCAAACTGTTTTCTGAGTGTTACTACTATACCTTGATTTCAAATTGTATATTCTATTTTTTTTAACGTTTTATTTACATTAGGATATTAGATTTTGATTTTTTTAAAAAAAAAAATGCAGGATATGGAATGCAATTTGATAAAAACACCCTGCAAGTGTGGCAATGTTTTATATATACAATTTTGGAAAAGAATTTTTAATTAGGCAGAATGGAAAAACTTGTCTGTTTGCCAGTCTCTTCCTCCCTCTTTTTTTAAAAATCGGTGCATAAATGTCCAGACAAGCTGAACTACATCTTCATGCAATGCACAAGTGTCTTCTCAGCAATAGAAGTTCAACCCCACTTCTATTCTTAGATAAGGCTAAGAATGGGTAGGTTTTTCTTCAGATTGCAGGAGCGGCAAGGGTTCTGGAGATCTAATGAAATAGGGCCATCGCCCACCCATGTGCAGTTCAAGCACGCCTATATCAAGAAACTCACCACACCAAAATCTAATAAATAACTAGAATAAAATCTGCCCTTCAACTAATATACTATTTTTTTTTTAACCGTTCAGTTTTCATTACTTCCTAAGAGAGAAACTCTGGAAAAGATAATGTTGTGAGTTTCCTTTTCATAGGCCTGTTAGAACTTCTGTAATCTAACTCCTTCAGGTGATGGCATAATTCGTAAATCAGTCATTGGATTTTATGCATTCTTACACAAGAGTAAGTCCTAGGTTGGGCTTGGTTTTACATAAAATACACATTCCTGGGTTTGTCTATTAAAAGTACTGAAACAAATAACCGTACATGGACATTATGTTCATGGTTATTTAATAAGCCCTGACTCATGTATTTTAACCAGTTTGCTATGTATATATATAATACTCCAGTTTAAATTGTGAACTGATTTCAGCTGCCATTAAGATTAGAACACCCTGAGGGTAGAATCCTGACATTTCTGAATATGGTGCTAAGAATCAGATCATTAAAAGCTCATCTACATTGCTGATGTTTTTACATACAGAACATTATTTCTGTTGCTTGTTCGATCCTGAATGCGAAGCAATAGTGTCTCAATATAACTTTGCACAGTGTTAAACTTTTTTCTTAATTTATAGCTTATATATGACAGCTTCGCTCAGTTCATGGTGAAAGAAAAAGGATATGATAAGGAACTTCTGAATGTGATGCCTGAAAACTGGGATTTCTGGTCAGTGATTTTTCTTAATTACCTTCAGTTTCCTTTGTAGTTGCTTCTGGAAGAAGAGACTGCCTGTATTTAAAAGTTATTAACTGAGCATTCTCTCAAAAGCAAGTATACCCAATTAAGTTTGATATAATTTATTCCAAGTAAGAACATATAGGATTGCAACTGTAGGGTGCTGATATTGGAGACTATATACTGCTTCCCTATTTTGTCCAGCCAATATTTATTTACCCTGACTTCCTGGGTGTAAGAGTGTTTCTTTGATTTGCTATACTAAAAATTCAGCATGTATCATAGATTTCTAATGAGCATGGATTCTCGTCCCATCCTTTGAGTAGCTGGGATTTTCTTCCCCTTCCTCTCTGCCGTCTTACAATAAATAAGTAAGTCTTTCTTTGCAGCATTTAAATGAGGCTGAATGAGAGCACTCTTCCTTTCCATTGCCTTGTTATAGGAATAGAGTGAATGGGATGGTGCTCCAGTCAACTATTCTTTTCTTGTTTTCTTTCTCTTTCTGACACTTTATTTTTAATCTACTCTCCACCTAGTTGGGTGTAGCGGTTAAAGTGTTGGCCAAGCAACCAGAAGACCATGTGCTTTTAGTCCTCCCTTACCCTGAAAACCATCTGGTGACTTTAGGTCAGCCACTCTCTCAGTCCAATCCAATTTTTTGTAGAGAAAATTGGAGCTGGGAGTATTATATATACCACCTCAAGTTGTACAAAATTCAGGTGGATTGATGATGACGACGACAATGATGGTAGTGGTACACAGCAGACTTTCTTAGAAGGGATACATCAGTTTGGGCAGAGGTCTGCCCAAACTGATGTCTTTCAAAGAGCTTTTGTCAAGTCAAAGGCCATGTATTTTTCAAAATATACAGTTACTTGATTGCATTGATTAGGAACTTAGACAATGGGCTTTCCCACATTGTGCAAGTAATGCTAAGCTCCTAGGTATTCATCTAATACTAAGTGCCTGATTATCTCTATGGCCCCTGTGGCATTTAAGACCACAGTCTGTAGCATAGTTTACAGCATCTCCATGTATTTTGAAGCTTGCTTATAATGTATCTCTTTTTCTTCTTCCATTAATGAACCTGAACTCTTAACAGCTGCAAGGGCTTAGTGCTGGACCTGGAAGAAGGGAATTTTCTTAAAATTGCAGATAATGGAACCATTTTGAGGTAACATTTAAATCCTTGATAAAAGTTTATGTTATATAGTTTATTAACTTTCTCACAATGTTCTTTTTCAAAGTACAATCATATCATTCCTCTCCTACTTACTGAGGCCATATGACTAAAATTTCCATTTCATATCAATCGTGTCACGATTCTAGTATTGTTTTTGTAATTCTGAGCAATCTAGAGACCACCAGGTTGGGGAGTCTGCCTTAAACCCTGTCTTGCACTTAACTGGTCATAATAATGATTTACCTTCTAATAGGGGCAGTCCTTGAGTTACAACAACAGTTGGAACCAGGAGTGCTGTCACCAAGTGACAAAGCAATTATCAAAATAAAAGCAGGTACCATTGAAAGGAAAGAGTGATATGAGTTGTGAATGATGGCAAACATCATTATTGAAGATCATTGATGTTTTTGAAGAGCAGACATTCCTTGGGAAGGTTGTTTTGCCTAATACAATTAAAGCTTTCAAAATTCTTAAATAAATTCTTTAATTTTCTTTCCCTGCCCATTCAGTTCTGTCTTCCCATCAGCTTACCTCCAGCCCATGCTGCTTTTCCCTTCCTTATCCAGTTAAACTACCTCTTATTCATCCATATCTAGTTTTCCTCTTCTCTGCTAGTACTACTGGAAGGAGGGAGGGTGCATGTTTTTCTATGACAGAACATACTTTTTGTGTGTGAGAGAGATGATAATTTGGTATATGTAAATAAGGGACAAATACTTCTACAAATTAGTTTCATTTACTTTATAGGCGGTTAATTTTAATCTGTAAATGATCCTGTTTTAGCATTTACATTATAATGTTGGAAGAGAGAAATCAAAGAACATAAAGTGTAATAACATTCATATCTGATTCTTCCCTCAAACAGGGCAAGCCATGGCACAAAACGTATGACCTCTGGAGAGATCTTGGAGAAGTATGGAAGGAGGGAGTGGAAACACTTTAAAATAATGAGTGGAATGGTTTCTCGTTCAGGTATTACATGGACATGGCCTATAATATAATATGTTAATGCTATAGTGTTGTATTTGTGGCATCCCTGGTGCTCTATTAACTTGATTGTTTTCTTACCAACATTTCATTACCAAACTAGGTAACAGCATAGTGCTAGTGGAGAGTAAAATTTGTTCTCATGTTATATTCCAGTAACTTGCCCTGTCAGTACTGATAGGAGTGATCTTGGTGGTTCTTAATTGTGCTGTTGTTTACTGTTAGTTTATTTGGCAGTCCTTGATTAGAATATGGTTTGTTTCTTGATTGTTGATCTAATGTTAATCTTGATATTATTCTTTGCTCATCTGAATGTTCATTGCAGGTGAAGAGGTGTTTTGGTCTTCTTGCTTCTTTCTTTTTGGTTTTTTGATTGCCTCTTTTTAGAATGGTGCGTAGATGTTTATGTCTGTGTGCCTGTTGATGGCTAATTAGTCTGAGTCTCAGGCTTCCAGGAATTCTCTAGTATTTGGGGGCTTGGCTTTGTCTAGGATGCTCATAGTGTCCCAATTAAAACTACAGTTAAGTCTATCCATGTGTTGTGGAATTAAGGAGTTTTCATCATGGCTTCTGATGCTAGTTAATGTTCATGGACGTGCTCTGCCAGTTTTCTACTTATTTGCCCTACATAGTGTCTTTTGCAGTCCTTATACTGTATGTTATAAATGATTCCTATTTTTTCTTATGGGGATAGGGGTATTTTGGTTTACTTAGGATGTTTTGGAGGCTTTAGTTCCGTGATGGCGAACCTATGGCATGTGTGACACAGGTGGCACGCGGAGCCATATCGGTGGGCATGCGAGCGTTGCCCTAGCACAGCTCCAGCGCGCATGCACACACTGGCCAGCTGATTTTCGGGCCTTCCGGGCTCACCAGAAGTCGGGAAACAGGCTGTTTCCGGCCTCTGGAGGGCCTCCAGGGGGTGGGGAAGCCCGTTTTTCGCCCTCTCCAGGCTCCAAGAAAGCCTCTGAAGATTTATTGAAAGTTCACCATAAAAGGCTTATGTCCAAAGGCTACATATAAGGCTAAAATTAGGTATATACATATTACATACTATATGTACTATATGTACAATATATAAGTAAGAGTCTGAAAGCTTATTCTCAAAGCTGATGAAGAAATCAGGCTGAAGCTTGCTTCATACATAGTCTGAAATGATTTGATGAGTGGGAGAGCCTAAGATAAAATTGTGAGGGTTTTTTTTTTTTTCTAAAAAAAAGAGGGGACTATCCTTCAGAAAAGCTCCAGCTGTTTTGGAAGCAGACATTATGGAAGACTGACAAATCTTTACTAGGAGTTCATTACAGAGATCTAGTCTTATCACTAAAAAATAGTGTTTCCAGACTTTTCCCTCACTACTTAACCTCCTGGAAATCGATAATGTATTCCTGAATTCATGTATAAGTTTTGATTTCCTACAGTGATATTTGGAATTGTATTCTAATTGTATGATTCTCCAATGTTTTGATGTCTCTTGAGCAATATCCTATTTGTGATACAAGGGGAAATTTTGCAGATATCAGTATTATAGTAAATAATAATTTTCCTCACAAAAATGTTGACTTGTCCACTAGGTATCTAATATGGCATTCAATTTCTTGTCTTTACAGCTAAATATTATGCCTATGACAATTACTTTGATCTGCCCGGGTCACTTCTTTGTGGACGGATTGTGGATGGTTTAGACAAAGTAAGTTCTAATCAGGTTTGGCGCATCAGATTGGGTGCTCATGGGCGATATATTTCAATTAATGTTCCTCCTGCTTCTGCTTCTCCTCTTCCTCTTCCTTCTCACACGTTACATGAAGCTTGAACATCCTTTTGGGAATCAAATTCTTTACTCTTGCTTTACAGGAGTGCGTCACAGCAATAAGCTAGAACTGAACCACATATCTACAGAATTCTGAAGGAATTCATTTCTTTTCTTAGGAAAGTAAATAGTGTCCGTGCTTGTCTCTGTTTCTGTTTCAGACAGCCCTACCTATAAATAGGGCACTGATTTTGCTAATTGGCTTGCCTCTGAAACTCAGACATCATTTCTATGTTCAGCCCTAATGAATCTCCTGTTATGAAGATTTATGGACTAAGCACAGGGGTTGTATTCACTTACCTTCGCAAATGTGAGCGTGCGTGCCTCCTCCATGCATGTGCAGAGGGTAAAAAATGGGACGTGATGACGTCCAGGCGGGTGGGCAGAGCCTCCCGCCGCCAGTACTACCTGATCATGCGATCCAGATAGAGCCAGCTGAATTTCACTGACTAAGCAGGCAAATACTTTTTTAGTGTGTTTATTACTGTATATGTTCTACTAACTTGTCATTATTGATTCATTTTTTTTATAAAACCTGAAAAGATGAATAAAAATGTAGGTCCAATAAGGGGAAGCATGTCCTATGACAAGCAGGCAAGCATGAAATGAAGCTTTTATTTTTTTGATCAAGTCTCTAAATTTATTAAATCCATTCCTTTGTTTACATTGGCTTCCATATTCTTATGGGCCAATGTTGCTTCATCCAGAGACCCACCTGAAAAGCAAGGCTGCTATGCTCACGTTAGGCATCATTAAGAAGAGAGTTTCCCAAAACAACTATCTGTAAACAGATACGATTTGTTGTAATGATCAGCAGTGTTGCTGCAAGGAATTGGTTTTACACAAGATTTTTTTTTTATTATTTGATTTATATACCGCCCTACTCCCGAAGGACTCAGGGCGGTGAACAGGCACAAATAAAACACATAGAATACAAAAATTTAAGAGCAGAAGTAAAATCGAATTAAATTAATTTAGCCCAAGACAAATTTAAAACCCCAGGTTAAGAATATTCCCTTCCTGTGATGAATAGTGTTTTTGCCTTTGTGTTTTTAAATATTAAAATGACTCTTTCATGCAGGGAATTGGTAATTCAAGAGAAAGAGAAAAGTTAAAAAAAAATCAAATGAATAATGCAATAATGAAAGGGCATAATCACATCATTGCATCACATGAGTGAATCCAGTCCTACATATTAATTAGCAAAGTCCTTTCTTAAATGAGTGTTACTGGCATCAAAGGGAGGCGTTCCCAAACATGTCATTGATAACTGTGCATGTTCAATTAACGTGAGGTGAGGGATGAAGAACAGAAACAGGGTGATGGAGTAAGAAGGAAAAAAAAGGATTGGCTGGAATCCTGAATGAAGGAATCCTATGTGGCTGCATTGTATTTCAGACTGTGCTTGTTGTGGTTGTTAGCTTATTTTCTCACTGCTTGCTAGAAAAACTGCTTACAATGAAAAAAGCAATAGGGTTTCTTTATCCTTGCAGCACAGCCCTAGGAGAAAATACGACTTCTGGAAGGATATGGTTGCTGCCATACAGTATAATTATAAAACATCAGCTTTTAAAGGTGAGTGGTTTCCCTGTCTTCCAAGGGCTGTTTCTTTGTTGAAGGTGCTTTTCATGTATCTCTCCCTTCATAATGGCCATGCATTTTCACAATTAAAATATATTGCTGTGGACTGAATTGGAATTATAGCAATCAAGCAGCAAACAATACTCCAGTCGAGGAAGTGCCAAGTAAGCTAACAGTAAACAGACCAACTCCAAGACTCCATCCCGACCAACATTGATAGGGCAAGCCACTTGTAGCTAATACAGGAACAGTTTCTGGCTTATCCTGTGAAAGGGGGCCCTTAGAGGGGAAGTCAGACATAAATAAGAAGAGTGATTGATTCTGTGGGTGCCTAGAAAATGAAACTACTCAAACCTCCCTATATCTGCAAAGAACTGGCTGTAATGGTTTGTGGGAATGAGAGACAGGAGGAAGAGCTACAGCCTAGACAATGGTCTGATAAGAGAACCTTGAGTCCGAAAAAGGAAAGGCGATAAAAGCATCTCAGAAAGGACCTTCCCTAGTCTTGGGGAAAGTAAACATGAACAAAGGGAAGGATACTTTCAGACTTGCAAGATTCTGTTAATGTAATCTTAAAATAAAAATGGAGCTAGTACTCATAGTTCTTATCTGGACTCCTTTGCAAGACTAGCACTGGAAATTTGGTTTATGTGGTAGGTAGAGAAAAAGAAATGTCTTTGCAGGCATTAGGGGATGAGCCATATGAAAAATTTGCAGCATTGAATTGTTTACACATTTTCCCACTTTTTCACCTGATTTTGTAAATATCTACCTCCTGTCCTTCCTTGGCATAAGAGGATTCCAGCACAAGATTGAACGCTTCTGTATCTAAATGTGTATGTTCGACCTGTTAAAACCTGTATTCAGAAATTCCCAGGATAACGTAAACACCATAACACAGTAAAAACAATTGACAAAATTATTTCTATCAATATCTTTTGAAAGAAATTTCAATAGAAATTATATTTTGATAGAAATTATATAGATAGTGATTATTTCTATCGCTACCTTTTCACTAAATTCACTAAATGATCAGAGAAATTGAAAGAAATGTGTCATTTATTTATTTATTTTTTTAAAATCAAAATGGACAGATACAACAAGTTTTTAGAACAAACTGTAAAATGCTGGTTTTAAAAGAACACAGTACAGGCCATTTATATTGATTTCATACAAATGGTTCGGAATCAAGAGGTGGCCGTGGGATGAAATGTAGACTGCACAGTGGTACAATTAGTATAGTAATAACTATTCACACTCCATAAGGTAAATGTTTTAACATTTTAAATATTTTCTTAGCTGTAGTTGTATTGTTCTCTGAATGTTGTATGTAAACAGACATCATTCTGTAAAGGGTAATATTGAAATATTTTATGAGGATTATAATACTGTCAATTTAGCAATAAATATACCTACAGTACTCATGATCAGCCATTACTAGTACCTGCACATTTGGACATAATTACCACTTTGTATGCTCACCTGGGGTACCATCGAACCAAGTTGATTCATTTTGTGAAGCTAATATTTCACTGAAAATGTTTAGAGTTATAGAATTAACACAACATATTGCATTTCTTGTGTTTTCTTATTCTGGTTTTTTAAAACTATGCACATTTGTTTGTTTTGATGGCATTACACATCTATGAAAGGAGGTTTTGATAGTGGGGCCCTTTTGGGGGAGGAATAATCTTGGTAGAAATAATCTTAATTAGCTTTTCAGTATGTGGGCAAGTAAAATGCATGTCTCAGTGTTGCCATACAGTGTGATTGTACCTTGTGAATAATTTTTTAATTTTTTTTTAATTCATATGCATTATGAACTTTAGAAAAATATTGTTGTATTTGGTGTAATTTTGTTAATTCCGTTGTATATGTAGAAATACACACACATATACCTGGATGCATTTTTCTGTTATGCTAAATATTACATTTGTGCAAATAAGAAACCTGAGAAGGAGGAATGGACATACTCTGAAGAGTAAAGGCCATTTGTGTCATTGTTGGGCAGCTGTAACCAAACTTGATCATTTTCCATGAGATCAACAACAGCACTTCCAGAAGCCTGATCAAGGTATCCTTTCTTGTACTCATCAAATGTGTACATGATGGGTGAGCCATTCTTGTACAGGCCAACCCAAACATGTGTGCCTTTGACATGGACATGATAAGCGAAGTAATAAAGCCCTGGTATCCTACAGGTGAAGATGCCTGATCTGGGGTCATAGTGTTGTTGCTTGTTGTACAAAATTATGTCAAATCGGATAGGAGTAGCAGATGCAGGGTAAGCTTTGGAGAGAATGGCAGTGAAAGCGGACACCGGCCTGCCAGTGAGACCTTGAGTTGCACCAGATTTTATAACTGGCACTCCTGCCAGGGCTTGCCCTGAAGGACCAGGGGGGCCTGGAGGGCCTGGCAATCCAGGCTCTCCAGGATGGCCTTTGGAACCTGGTGGACCAGGTGGTCCCATAGGTCCATCTGTGCCTTTCGATGAAATTCCAGCTGGACCTGGTAATCCCGGTGCACCTGGGTCCCCTTTGCCTCCAGGGAGTCCTGGAATACCTGGAGGACCAACTGGTCCCCTTATACCAGGTGTACCAGGTGATCCTCTAGAGCCTGGCCCACCACTGATTCCTGCTGCACCTTTGGGTCCTGGTGAGCCCATTGGTCCAGGTAAACCAGTTGGCCCAGTGGGGCCTAGATCTCCTTTAAATCCTGCCGCACCTGGATGGCCCTTGGATCCAGGAAACCCTGGCTTCCCTGATCTGCCTTCCAATCCTGGCAAGCCTCTTTCTCCCTTAATCCCTGGGAATCCTGATGGACCAGTTGGGCCTCTTTCCCCTTTGAGCCCAGGTCTGCCACTTGCGCCAGTGGCACCTCTTAGCCCTCGAGAACCTGCTTCCCCTGGTGGCCCACCTGGTCCAGGTCTCCCAGGGATACCAGCTGGGCCTTGTTCTCCCTTAGCTCCTGGACTACCAGGGAGTCCTTCAGGCCCCCTGTTTCCCTTCATCCCTGGCAATCCTGGTTTTCCAAATCCTGGGAGACCAGAGGGCCCAGTTGAGCCTGGAGGACCTGGAGGTCCTTTTGCCCCAGGGGTTCCTGCAAGGCCAGGTGACCCACTTGACCCAGGGTGTCCTTTTCCAGGCATTCCAGGTTTCCCGGGAGAGCCTTGGGGACCTGGAAGTCCAACTGGGCCTGGTAAGCCTGGTAAACCCTTGTCCCCTTTAACACCTGGCTGCCCCGGAAACCCCCTTTCCCCAGGCCTTCCTATCCCTGCTTGTCCTGGAGGCCCCTGTGGCCCTGGCAGGCCTTTCTCCCCTGGGCGACCTGGAACCCCATGCCCATTTTCTCCCCTTTGCCCTTTAATACCAGGAGCGCCTGGAACACCTTTTTCCCCAGGGATGCCTCTTACTCCTTGGGGTCCTGGGAGCCCTTGTTTCCCCGCCATCGAAATTCCCACAGGACCAGGAGCTCCAGGGGGACCCTTTGGCCCTGGAAGACCAGCAGGCCCCATGCTTCCTTTTTCACCAGGGTGTCCTTTGTCTCCCGGTCTTCCTGGAAAGCCTGCGGTTCCTGGCTTTCCCGCCGCTGAAAGTCCTGGGGGTCCTGGAGGTCCTGGAGGCCCTTGACTTCCATAGCTTGGTTTTCCTGGTTCTCCTGGTGATCCTGGGTAGCCTCTGGGGCCAGGGGGGCCTGGCGGGCCTTGTGGACCTTGTTCTCCCCTTGCCTGTGAAACTAAACCAGCATTAAGACAGTTAACATCCTATAGGGATTAAATGATTCAGAAGGACAAGTAGCAACAGCACTTAGACTTTATATATCGCTTCACAGTGCTTTACAGCCCTCTCTTAAGTGGTGTACAGAGTCAGCATATTGGCCCCAACAATCTGGGTCCTCATTTTACTGACTTCAAACACTTGTTATTTTTTAATAACGTCTATTTAAAAAAAAACCTATGCCACTTAAGACATAGCTCAGTTACAGTCATTTCTTATAACAATATGATGGTTTGTTTACATGTCATATTGAGTCATTTGGGGGGGGGAGGGAAGGAAGGATGGAAGCTTGAATAATTTTTGACCTTAAAAAACAAAAGCGCAGTTGCACTGATACCGTGTTTCCCCGAAAATAAGACCCTGTCTTATATTTTTTGGAACCCTGAAATAAGCGCTTGGCCTTATTGCCATGCGTTCAAAAGCCCGATTGGGCTTATTATCTTATTATTGGTCTTATTTTGGGGGAAACAGGGTAGCTAGCAAAAAAAAAAAAGGCTAAATAGTGAAGGTTTAATGAAGGTTCCATGAAAATAAGCTGAAAGAAACTCATTGGCTTCAATGTGCATGAAATTTCAAAATGTTTAAGATGTGGCAAAGGCTGAGGGTTGCTCCCTGTTCATGATTTTAATGGACTGTTTGTATTTTGGAGCCTGTAGTATTTTCTCATAGGAAAGAAAATCTCTACAGTAAAATTCATCTTTGTGATAAAACAACACAGATCTGTTGGTAAAGCATTTGTCGGCCACTGATGTCGTGTTCCTTAGATGCTTGATGAGCACATTTTTTTTTTTGCACTTGAGACATTTGGAGTCAGATTCATTGAAGCAGAGAAAGTGTAATAGCCTGAGTCTCTGTTTCTTCTAAACCTGCCTACATTTTTCTGATATAGAGAAAGAAGGCAAGTTTCACAAGCACCTTGATTGTGTGAATGATTATAATCTCTTTAATTGGAGAAGTTAAATCATACGAAACCTGGGCACAACAAATTAGTGTAGCAGTGTCTCAGGAGAATTAATTGCCTGATATGATTTATTTATGTAGCATATGGCACCTGATATGAAAAGATTATCTTTATTCCCACATAGGTAGTCCTCAAAGTACGACTGGTCACTTAGCGATTGTTTGATGTTCACAAACGTACCTAGAGGAATACTTACAATCCAGATTAAAAAATCTGACAGTCACCCTTCTGTGCAGTGATGTGACTGTACTTCAGACGCCTGACAACCAGGCCGCATTTACGGCCGTTTGCAGCATCCTGCTACCATATGACCAAATTTTAACGATGGTTTTGACTAAAACCGGCCTTTATTTATTAAATTTATTCTGGCTTTCAGCAATAATTGCACCCCTAGTGAACTGTTGATTTGCTTAATGCCCGTGGTGATTTACATAAAGACTGCCACACAAAGATCATAAAATTGACTGTCGCAAGTTGCGACTGTGATGGGCAGGCTCCTTTACGGTCGTAACTCGAGGACTACCTGTACTTGGTTCGCCATGATATTTCCACCAGGAAGAAAGGAAAGGGATGTGGTTCAGCCAGAATAAAGACAGGGACAGACTGGTTAATGTGTCGGTTGTCCAAGAATTTCTGAGATCCAATCCGCCATCCTTTCTTCTCCAGCAATAGAAACATTCTGCTGAAGGGCAGAGCCAATTCTAGGAGAGTAATCTTGTTGAAGTTCATTTGCAAAGCTCAGTTGAAAGCAAAAGTGCACATATTATTATTTATGTATTTATTTACTAGATGCAATCAGGTTGTGAATGTAATGTTCACATTTCCCTTGTCCTATTTTCCCGACAAGAACCCTGTGAGATGGGCGGGTCTGATAGAGAATAAGTGACCCAAAGGCCTATGTCACCTTTGCTGAAAGTGGTATTCAGTGAGTTGAACATGATCCTTGTATTTTAATGCAGCCTCTGAAAATTTTATTCTATTATTTAAAAGAGAGAAAAAAATTCAGAATGGACTACTCTTATGTGGTTTTGGAACAGGAACTTCAATATGTTTATGTTTAAGTTTCTAATATTAATGCAGGTTTTTTGGTATTTTTAAAACCAGTAGAGGGAGCCATGCAACCATGTATAAGCCGTAGAAAAAAATGGAATGTGTCTTTGCAGAGAAATACATAATCTGTATTTCAGAATCTGTGGACATAAATACAGACTTCATCAACATACATCATATATGTATGTATCAAGTTTATGTGTGTGTGTATTAAATAGATTTGATCTCAAGATTCTATTACATTTTTCATAATTTATACCAGCTTTCCCAACCAGATGCCTTCTGTGTTATTGGATTAATGTCCAAAATTTATAGTCACTAGAATTCTGGGAGTTGTCATCTTAACAGACATGGAAAGTTTCAGGTTGGGTATGAAGTTATGCACAATTTCAAATGTTAACAGAAAGAACTTTCCTAAAAGAAAAGAACTACTAAAAAACTTTAGCGAAGGCATCTGTTTGGATACCATGGAAAGTTTTGAGCAAATGTTTTGCCGGAGACTTCTCCAGAATACTGGAATCATGTTTGGCAAACCTAACATAAGGGAGCAGCAATAACAAACCAAGTAAGTAAAATGATTTATGGTGTAAACGTTTGTAGATGTTTTAAGGGGTTTGTGTAATTGCTTCAGTATTTATGTTGGGAAGAGCATAGCCCTACAATGACTAAGATGTATTCTCTTGATAAATCTTCTTTGAGCTTACTACAAAATAGCAAAGCCGCATACACATTTTTCACATCTTTGTCAGTTGGGCATCGGGAAGAGCTAATCCGTTCTTGCTAGTCTTAAATAAGTATTTTTAAGGAGATAGGTTTACCTTTTTGTGCATTTAGGAAATCTATTTGGTCTTATTTTAACTTGTATCTAAATATGCCTTGTGAAAATTATTTCCAGGAGCTGCACAAAAAAATCCCATGAATCTATGAACATTATAATATGACTATCAATACTTCATTGAACAGGTTAAAAATTTTCCTATGTCCAAATTTAGCATATCCACAAATATTAAAAAAGCAATAAAGCTCAGTAGGATACCTAGCATCTAGAACAGAGGTGTCTAATCTTGACAGCTTTAAAATCTGTGGACTTCAATTCCCAGAATTCCCTAGCCAACCATATTGGGAAATTCTGGGAATTGAAATCCACAAACCTAAAGTTGCCAAGGTTGGATACCCCTGATTTAGAACTTGAAAACTGATTTTAACATTACTTACGTTACATTACTGGGAATGTTGTTTCAGGATGCAACCAATTCCTGAGTATCAGCCCTGTTCACATAGCTTTGTAGTAATATAGTATCAGATGCTCAGGCAGTAAAAACTGCTACTTCCTTTAGAAAGGAATTGAGTATCTCAGTTAGAAGCATCCCAAATAATATTAAACTGAAATTCATGCTCCTTTAATTTAAACTCTCTAGATTAAGTCCTGCTGTCTCTAGCAGACAGGAGCAAATCTTTGCCAGCAGAGGAGAAACACACCTCTATGGGAGGAGTCACTGTTGACTCCTCCCCACTTGAGAAATTGAGGCTTTCTTGAGATTGGTGCTATGCTGAGAGGAGCTGCAATGGGCGATCCTCACCCTCCTTGTCATGCTGTAGTTCATGTTTTTCAAACTTGGCAACGTTAAAATGGGTGGACTTCCAACTCCCAGATTTCCCTAATCAGCATTCTGGCGTGATGCATTCTCATTTCCCCCTGCCAGTGGGATAGACAATTATTAACTCAAGCAAGGCATGGTTTTCAGGCAAAGGGTTGTGCATCACTTTCTCAACCTTCATGCTTCCAAAGTAGACTCCTGCCTAACCACATTAGAAATGCTTATGTTTAAACCTTAACAATTTGTTTTAAGCTTTAATTCCCTTAAAATGGCAAGAGTACGGAAGAGTCAGTATGGAATTGCAGTTTAAGAATCTGAACAAAAATCTTCATAGCATCCTACAAAGAAATCTGAGAATTGCCTGTAATTTAAAAACTTTTTAAATACTTTGTGTTCTGTAATTTCACTACTGGATATTTCAGAAAAGTTCCTTTCTTTTAAGTCTGCCATATTATTTAGCATCCTCTAGACGCTACAATTCTTAGTGTCTTCAGTTAACATGGTATAATGGCAAGGAAGAATAAACATTGTAAGGGATTTATTCAGAGAGCTACAAGTACCCCACCTAAGGTGGTTGTGATGATTGTGATGATGGAACTATTTATTTGATTTATGCAACTCCTTCCTACCCTGATCTATCTAAGAAATGAATTTCTCCATCAAAATTAGAACATATAATGAAACCTGAATTTGGAACTTTTTCAGAAAAAAATAAAGATTTCATGTCTGATATTCCTGTTACTATGGTGAAATGTGAAATTTCAGCATCGCAGTAACCTCTCATTAACAAGATTATATTTCCACTGAACTGAATGAAGTGCTTGGATTTTGCATTCAAATTAAATCCTCTTGGATTCCTTTGTAAACTCACTTCCTAAATAGCATTACCTAAATGAATGGAAAGCTAAATCCATGCATGAATGTCAGGACAGGACAATAGAGAAGTCTGTATGGTAGGTTGCCGAATATTGTTGACCTTCAGCTTCCATTAAATCCAGAGACTTGCAATTCACCATCCTTTGAAGTTCCACAGGCTGTCTATTAGTTTTCTAGAAGGTTGACCACCTAGCGGTCACATTAGATATTCTGTGGCTGTCAATGAACCTGTTTTACAGAGAAGAAGCTCTGTAACTCTTACAGGGACGACTCTCACCCTGGTCATCACTTCTTTACTCTCTTACCATCGGGAAGGAGATATAGAAGTATAGCCAGCCACACAAACAAGCTGAAGAACAGTTTTTATCCATGGGCTGTCAGACTTCTGAATGAGAAATAACATCATAACTATGTAGTATGAGGGCCAGCACAATGTGTAACATGTTCACACTGGTGCAATAAGACTAGGGTTTTTTTTGTTAATATGATTTATTGGGTTTGGGATTTTCTGTCTTCACTGAGTTGTGTTGTGTTGGGGTGGGCTCGCACTGAGGGAGCTCAGCCAATCTCATTGTACATTTGTTGTGCACTGACAATAAAGATTTGAACTGGAAAATATATATATTGAACTTTTGCTTAAAACCTTAGTATCAACACTAAGAAAATTATCTTATTTTCCATTTTATTATTAGCTGCTCTTTTGAAGTGGGATGGATAACAAAATCATTGCGAGAAATCTCAGAACTTAGTTTTAGTGATAGGTGCTACTGATTGTATTTTCATGCACTTGTTGCTGTTGGTACATCTTTTATATTGTAATCGCTAGGTTATGAGAAAGGAAGGAAGTGAAAAATTGTTTTCAGTTGGCGTTTCCCCTGTTCTGCCTTGAACCTTTTGAACATTAAACCGCAAAAGTATAGTCTGGAGAAGATGTTTTAAAATCACAATTAGAAAGCCTTAGAATATGTTCTGTGTTGCTTTCTAGTCCTTCATCAGTGCAACATATGAACATCTGATCATAAAACTGAAGAGCCATTTTTTTGTAGTGGTAAAGCTTCTGGTCTAGAAACCAGCATACTGGGAATTCTAGTTCTTTAGGCATGAAAGCTGGCTAGGTGATTTTGGGCCAGTTTCTCTCTCTAAGCTCAGTCGACCTCATAGGGTTGTTGTAGAAAAATGGGGAGGAAGAAGGAATATTAGGTATGTTCACCGCCTTGAGTTACTTATAATGTAATAAAGGTGGAGTGAAAGTCTAATAAATAAAATAGTGAGTTTTGAAAAACCACACAATCTCCCCTCTCTGGGATGAACTACTTTAAAATATTTGGTGGCATGTATATTTAAACAGTTTCTTATAATAGAAATTTTTCTCATGGAAAGATAGCATATCAAAGTGATTTTCTTAACAATCTAGTTTTCTATGCATGGTCCTGAAAAGTTTTTAGACAGAGCATTCAAACGTTTAATGTCCTATATGTTATTTCGCTGCAGTTATTCCTCTGTATTCAGTTTTATGGTGATAATTGAGGTAAGTATCTTAAAAAGAACAAGAGTAGTTTACCTTTTAAAAAAACAATACCTTTTGTCTCTTATGGAATAGCAAGTATCTTTATCAACACTTATCACCAACATTCTTAACAAATTCACTTTAAGAAGCAAATACCACTTACCAGGATTTTTTACGCTGAAAGGCAGAAAAGGTGGTCCTTTGATAGGTGCACTTGGTTGTCTCTGATGTTGTTCAGGATAAAAGTGTTCATCACCCCAGACTATGTTCATGGAAAGCAGCAGCAACAGAAAGGATAGGTGTAACTTCATATTCCTAAATCCACTCTTCATCGAAGGAAGTAAAAAAAAAAATACCATTTGTGTACATATTTGGAAAATTGAACTTTGGATTCTTTCTATCCCTACAAAGTTGAAGTAAACACATAAACATTCTGACTCAATGCAACTCATTGGAGTACAGGCTTTAAATATTTTTTTAAAAAATGTAGGAATACTAAGCATCAGAAATCTACTTATATTTTATTGCATGTTCAACATGAACTGCACAATAACCTTATGGTATGGAAATATATTCAGAAAGAAAAAGAGGAGAAAATTACAAAGCTGCCATTCCTGTCTCCAAATAATCCCCCTGAAGTTTCCAAAAGCAGACACTGGCTCCTCCTGTTTCAGAAAACAAGCCCAGTTAGCAACTTAGGCACAGGTAAGCCTTCTGTACTAACTGTAATTAGAATACTGTCAAGTGCCATTAGTGTGCACATGAAAAGCTTCTGTCCCACTTAGAGGTCTTGGAAGCCAAGCCAGATAGAATTGTAGCATACCAGCATGTTGCAGAATTACAAATGTGTAGTGGAGCAGTCTTGGCTCATGAGTCCTTCTACTACAGGTGTGCAGAGCAGAAGTTGTTATTTCAAGGAACATCCTGAGTCATTTATACTGTTTGTGCCTTCGGTGATGAAGTTGCACTGTGTGGTAGCTCCACCTTCAAACCAAGAAAATGCTAATTATGGTGGAAAGTTTTCTTGGCCAAACATGTTGTGTCAGGTTGGGTTTCTATTATTATTTGGGATGCTAAACTCCATTCATGAATTTACTTCAATTGTACTAAAACTGAGAAGAGGTTGGTATCTTATCATCAGCAAGTATCTGTGCCTTAAAACACTTAGGGTTTTGATTGAAATTTCTCCTTCCTCTGCAGCAAAAGAAGAAAAGAGTGGAAAATCCATACCAGGACTAGATTATTATTTTGAGGGAGGGGGATTGTCAGATAATCCCAGCAAATATGGTATGATAAAGATTACACCAATCTTTAAAGATTAGTTTGTTTTCCTTAATGTAGTTTGTCTAAGCCTAACTCATCTATTTTCATGTTTGCTTTCCCCAAATTTTTGAGAAAAAGGTTTTTCCCCCTGTTTCTCCATTCTCCTATTAGTAATTCATTCAAAAATGCATTAAAAAGGGAGCATTGCAAAACATTAGCATTGAATTGTGGGAATACAGGGACTCGTTTTATCCTATTGAAATAGGCAGTTTCTTGCTTTTCTGTTAGAGGATTTTTTTTTTTTGCTCCGTACATATTTTTAAATAGGAAGGGACACATTCCATCAGAATAAGTTCTCCACGCCCCAAATTCCCAGTGATTGAAAGAGAAGAAAAACTTAATCAGAAGGGTGCAGCTATTAGACCGTATAAAGCATTTTATAATTTATTTATCAAATAAAGTATTTGGAAGAGGTACAGTACTTCAGAAACTCTGCTGGCACAAGTGAATCACTCCTTATTGATGCATTTAACTAGCAGTACTCTTTAAAAGGCTTACACAGCCTCTTTCAAACTGTCCCTGGCTATCAATGCAGGCATGCACATGCACAGATAATACTGACTCTGAGACTGTCAGCAAAGCATTGTGCATTTATAGAAATAGAGCCAGCAAAGGAGAGCCTTTAAAATAGCCATGCAGCAGGGAGGACAATGAGGAGAAGAGCATCATGCTGATATGTCACAAACTCTGCACTGACTTGCCAAAGCATCCGTGCATTTTGTACATGTGTTGGGATGTCACATTCCCATATGAAAGAATCAGCGGATTCTTTCATGCTTTGAGAAGGAAGGGTATGGCTTTGCTAATAGATTTGATAGAGCCCCTTTTTAATATGCTGCTCTAGTAACTATATCCTACACTCAATAACTGTGTCCTGCCCTAATGCATATGATGATGTATCCATGCTTGATAAAGCAGCCTCCTTCATTTCCATGGAGAAAGTGGGCTCATGTTCCTTTGAATGTTTGGCTTTCCATAACTCAATAGATATTCTATAAGTACTTTTAAAAGGCTGTGTTCCAGGCTGTTTTCCTTGTGCTAATCAAGCTATGCTGAAAACGAAAATGAAAGTAAAGCAGGCTGTTGGCTGTTTGCTGCAAGGAGGCAAAATTGTTCAGAGGCAGAGGGAGATTTCTTTTTCTTCTTTTCCTCACCAAAAAAGGTAGGTGCGTCTTATACTCTGAAAAATGCAGTAGTTCAGCCTATGAATAGCACAGGAAGTCATCTTACTCGAAACAGCTTCCTACTCTACCTTATCTAGAAGCAGGGGTGAAATCCAACATTTTTCCCTACTGGTTCTGTGAGTGTGGCTTGGTGGGCATGGCAGGGGAAGGATATTGCAAAATCTCCATTCCCACCCCACTCCAGGGGAAGGATACTGCAAAATCTCCATTCCCTCCCCTCCTGGGGGAAGGATATTGCAAAATCTCCATTCCCTCCCCACTCTGGGGCCAGCCAGAGGTGGTATTTGCCAGTTTTATTTTATTTTATTTTTATTTATTTTTTTATGCCGCCCTTCTCCAGAGACTCAGGGCGGCTTACAATGCGTTAAGCAATAGCCTTCATACTTTTGTATATTTTATACAAAGTCAGCTTATTGCCCCCACAAACCGGGTCCTCCGAACTACTCAAAATTTCCGCTACCGGTTCTCCAGAACTTGTTAGAACCTGCTGGATTTCACCCCTGTCTAGAAGCCATATTTGTAGTTTTGCTCTGTGCTTTAATCCAACTGTAATCTCCATATTCCATTCTCTGAATATTAGGTGCATGGATCTAAGTAGATAGAAGTTCCATTTATGATCATGAGTGGAGGCCTGTTGAAGGATCAAGGGTCTGTTCAATATCTTGATCTGTGATTTATTGTTTATAATACATTGGAACCATCATGCCATAAATGCAGAAATTACACTTGGCCTCTGTATCCACAGCAGCTGAAGGGACTGTCTGTCAATGCTTCATGTGTTCCTGCTTTTTATTTTCAAAAATTTCTGACAGATTTCTCACAGCAAACAAAACAGAAAAAAGTTTAATAGTTTCTGTGTACATGCATTCAGTCAAGACAAAAGTACACAGACCCATGTTGACTTCATTTCTTCCCCTTCTATCCTGAATTGAGTCTTGTACCTGACATAAATGTAGTTCTTTTGTAGGTTTGTACGGGAATTATGGGACTATTTGCATTACTGCTTACGATTGGTAATAACTTTTGTTTTAGAAAATGCACTCCCTCTCCCCTTTTTCTTACCTGAATACTTGATCAAAAATACAAATCTGACAAATCTATATTTAGGAAGCAGGGCAAGATTGTATTCTTAAATCATCTTTTATTTTTTAATTATGTCAAGCTTAGCCCTTTCCCTGCCCGTAATAGTTTGGAAACCCTTAGTGTAACCTGATGCTTTGTGGATATCTTGGATTAAAACTTCTCCAATTCCCAGTAATAGCTGCAGGAAACAGTAGGGATTATTGACCATTGCATATAGAATACAAGACATCGGGGTTTAAGGAAAATTGAGGTAAAGTCAGGGGTGAAATGCTCCCGGTTTGGACTGGATCACCTGATCCGGTAGCGATGGCGGCAGGTGGTTTGGAGAACCGGTAGCAAAAATCCCTGTGCCCCCCCCGCCATGCCCAGCTGAGCCGCACGATCATCAGAGGCTTTTTTTTTTTTTTTACTTTTAAAAGCATTTTTTCTACAACCTCTTCGACGAAAAAATGCTTTTAAAAGTAAAAAAAAAAGCCTCTGATGATCGCGCGGCTCATCTGGGATCGTCAGAGGCTTTTCAAAGCATTTTTTTCTGCAACCTCTTGGCCGAAGAGGTGGTTTAAAAAAAGGCTTTGAAAAGTCTCTGATGATCCCAGCTGAGTTGCCTGATCGGCAGAGACTTTTCAAAGCATTAGAAAAAATGCTTTGAAAAGTTAAAAAAAAAAAAAAGTTGGCCACGCCCACCCAGTCACATTATCCCCCCACCAAGCCATGCCCACAGAACCAGTAGTACAATTTTACATTTCACCCCTGGGTAAAGTGGATGTGATTTGGGTTCTTTCATCGTTTATCCCATCATTCTTAGGATCCATCGTGATAGACCACATGCTTGAGAGCTAAGGAGCACAAAACCTCAGGAATGGAATTTCACAATTCAGACCAGATTGATGTCCTCGGGACCTCTGATTAACATAGGAATTGCCAGTTTGGATGACCTCAGAATCTGACTCATCCAGCACTCTTGTTTCGTAGTGGCTCGTTAGTTAGGACATGAATGTGAGTGGACCTTTCGGTTGTGTTTCTTGGCAGCTGTATTCAGAGGGGAAAGTGGCTATCCAGTACTTCTTCCTTTATTCACAAGTGACAGCTGAACTTCCATCAGTGCAGCAGCATACTCTATTATCTATTTAAGTAATTTAGAAGTCATGTTTTATGGTTTTATTTAAACAATCAGCATTTATTGTCCTATTTTATAAAGTATGTCATTTATATTAATAGCATTATCTACACATATTTAAATTTCTGTTTTATGTTCATTTATGATAATTCTTGGCTCACTCAGCTGCGTTTCTGCTAGGAACCGCTGAATCACTAAGCCAAGATTGCGCCACCAGTGACTTTGTTTTATTCAAGTCTGCTACAAACGGGTCTCAGTCGAAGTCGAGTACTATCTGTACAAAGTCGGCACTGAGAGCTTCCGCCTCTCAGCGCCTTTTGAATATGCTGCCCCGCGCCCCACCCTCGGACGCACTGCTCAGCTGATTGGAGAAGCAACAGCTACCTCCAATTCCTTTCCCTCTCTGTCATCCGCTGCCGCGTCACCCGCTGGTGCCAGGAATCTCAGCCTTTCAAATACTACTCCCGTGGCGTTTTTCAGTCCAGCGCTGCTTTCCCCAGTGATTTGGTGCAAACGACACCCCCCCCATTCAACCTACAACCCCTGTGCCCAATCCTTCATAAGGAGGTTTGTTCTCGATGCGTATGTTCCCCCTTATGCTTCATGTGTTGAGCCGTGGCTGGGC